TTAGAGGTTTGGCCATAACTTATCTTGCTAAAAAGAATAAGGAAAAGAAACTTGCTNACACACACAGAGAGAGAGAGAGAGAGAAAGAGAGAGAGAGGGATGCACACACATGCTTGAAACCTCCTGAACATCATGTCAGAACCGAAGAAGCTTCTTGGATGAGAAAGTGAAAAGTCTGCAAGGAAAAATAAAGATCAATTGCCTTTTGAAAAAGCACTTTTGGGACAATCATGACCTGGATAACTGAGAATCTACATAGACATTTCTGAACATCAGAAAATCTGACAGCTAATTATGTAATGAAGAAACCGTTGCTTTTGAAAAAAAAAACACCAGATAAATTATTTTCCTGTTTCATTTGTAGGTCATACAATCCAACTGTTTTCCTCCTTACGATTTCCAAATTTGTCATCCTGGTGCGGATCTTGTTTTCATGTTGTGTTGCTTTTAGATGACCAGCCTTGTGGTTTTTTCCTCTGCTTCTGCCCCAGTTTGAATAACTATCATCTCAAAATATACATCAGTAGATGAGCTTGCATTTTTAAATCATCCTCTAATTGGGACTCCCAGCCTCCAAATGTGTTTTGAAATACACCAAGCAAAGTCTTCAGATCTTCACAAAGGATGGAAAGGGGATTCCGTCCAACCTGGCTGATTCATTTTCTGTGATCACAAAAGCTTGCAGTATCTATTTGTGTTGCCTTCCTGTTAGTTTCCATGTCATTAGTATATCATTCAAAAGCCTACCAAAACCAATGATCCCTCTAAAGCAAAAAATCACTGTGTGAAATAACTTTTGTGTAAAAGGGAGCCACGATAAAATATCCACTTCTGTTGTCCGCCTGAAAATTTCCAAACCATTGGTATATAATTCCAAAGAACATAAGCGTGTACAAAAACAATGAGTTGACCAAGGCAACATTAATATGTGGAATAAGCTCTGTTTCAAAGACAGCCATTACAAGTTCATGTCTCAGGATCCAATGTTCCAAGAATTAGCTGAACCCATCGGTTTCTTTCTGATCTCCCAAAATACCAGCTTCTGAAAATTGATTTATGTATTATAACAAGTAGTTCCTGCTTTTTCCCTTCTGTCTTTTAACAGCTTTTTAGAGTCTTTTGATATTCTTTCTCTTCTTCTTGCTAAAGCTTGGGGGGACTTTTTTCATATCGTGGACTCAATTAAATGCAGGAGATTTTGAGTCCTTGTTCTGGAACAATCCTTTATGTTAAAGGATGGCACACTTATCTGGCAAAGGTGCTTTCTTTGCAAATCTTGAATACCTTGTTCCAAAGTGGTGCCACCATTCATCACAAATGTTAATGGTGAATGCATTAGAGCTTAAAATTCCAGTCCAAAATTTGAACTTCAGCCTGACTTTCTCCTTCTCCTTCTCCTTCTCCTTCCCCTTCTCCTTCTCCTTCCCCTTCCCCTTCTCCTTCTCCTTCTCCTTCTCCTTCTCCTTCTCCTTCTCCTTCTCCTTCTCCTTCTCCTTCTCCTTCTCTTTCTCTTTCTCCTTCTCCTTCTCCTTCTCTTTCTCTTTCTCCTCCTCCTGGTGAAGGAAATATTTAATTCTATGACAATGGGTGTCCCTTAAAACATCCTCCAGAATTTTTTGAAATTTCTCTGCCAATGACTATTTCAAAGTAACAAAGATAACCTGGTAAGGTAACCTAGTAGGTATGGAGAAAGAAGAAAAGTGAGGAGAGAAGATGAGAATGGCAGAAAAAGAAAGGAAGCAACAGAGAGAGAGAGAGAGAGAGAGAGAGAGAGAGAGAGAGAGAGAGAGAGAGAGAGAGAGAGAGAGAGAGAGAGACTCATGCACAGCAGCCTCTATTTCTTTTTAATTAAATTCTTCAATCAAGGTCCCCATCCCTTGTGTGCGTGCGTGCATGCGCGCACAAGTTTTGTGGCTCCCAGTGTTTGCTTTTCTCTGGGAAACAGGTCCAAGTGGCTCTTTGATCGTTTAAGGTTGCAGACCCCTGGCATAGACCATTGTTTGCTTCTTTCTTTGGTGATTTGTGGCTGACCTTTTAGAGATTCCAAATATAAAGTACAGCTTAGCATGTTTGGTGTAGTGGTGAAGGTGCTGGTGTAGAAACCAGGAGACTGTGAGTGTTAGTCCATTAGGCATGAAAGCTGGACGAGTGACCTTGGGCTAGTCATTCTCTCAGTCCAGCCTTCTTCACAGGTTCGTTGTTAGGGAAAAGAGGAGGGAGTGTTATGTATGCTCATTGCCTTGAGTTATTTATTAAAAAAATAATAGAGGGTATAAAAATTTTAAAAATCATAGATAAATTCACTGGTGTGATTTATTTGGAGCTTTTATGGAGGGAAATAGTAATAATAATAATAATAATAATAATAATAATAATAATAATAATAATAATAATAATAATAATAATAATAATAATAATAATAATAATAATAAAAAAGTTGGAAGGTATTGTTCTGCTCCATGAGGAAGTTCAGATAGTTTGATCAGAGGTAGTCAACAGTTTAGCAAAACTGCTACAGAAAATTCTTAAAGTGAACATAACGATTAAACCAGAAACTTTCCTTTTGGGTCTAAAGGAAAGAGAACTGGGAAAAAAATGGAACTCTGATTTTATATATAGTGACGGCAGCAAGATTGCTCTATGCACAAAAGTGGAAGGATGTCTCGATTCCTACCATGGACGAATGGTTACAAAAGCTGATGGAATTAGCAGAGATGGCCAAATTGACTATGCTGATAAAAGAAAAGAACATAAGTACTTTTATTTCTACTTGGAAATGGCTTCTGGACTTTGTGCTTGAGGTGGAAAAAAATGATATGATTTTGGGTTTTACTGATACAGAAATGGCTAGGGCATACTACTATAGAAATGTAAAAAGTTGAGATTTGATTTTAATGTCTGATTTTACTGCAACAGTCGGAAGTCAATGCCTTTTATTTCTTTTCCTCCCTTTCTTCACCCATTTTTGTTTTCCCCTTTTCTACGGTTGTCCCCTACTATTTGTGTAAGGACCTGCCTCAATTAAGCCTCCCAAGAAAGCAGAACTTTTGAAACTTGCATTGTCTCAACAGGAACTTTTATTGGAAGGCATTGACAGCAGGATAGTAAGGCAGGATCTGAAGATTTCCCATGCAAAATGTTATATTAAAAGAACCCTTTCAAACCCCACCCCAACTGTCCATTCGGCTGGTTCAAATTAAGCCAATCCATAGGTATCAAATTGTTGTGAGAAGAACTGATAAGGCGCTGCTCTCAAGGCTGTCAGATTTTTCTGCGTCTTCTTCCCTCCGCCTGGAGATAAGGTAGATGGCTTATCTCCAGGCGGAGATATCATGCTCTATAAGAAATTCCAGTCTCTGATGTCCTGTTATTTGTTTCTGATCATTAAAATTCTTTTAATGAAACATTTTTTGAAAAAGAAAGGAAAAAAAGAGGCAAAAGATGTGAAGAAAAATAAAACATGAAGTGAATAGATATGGAATATAGAAGCATCACAGAATTAAATAAATAAATATTTTCAATATTTCATTAGTTTTACAAAGCTGAACCTTATTGGATTTTAAAAACCACAACCATTGTTAGTCAGTATATATCATCAATGGCAATAAAGCAAATATAAACCATGAAAATAAAGTAATTTCAGCTTGAAGAATGAAAAGTAGAAAATTATGACTTTAATGGAAGCCAATTTCAGATATATGGAATGTATGGAATTTTATAATGTATTTATTATAATTATAATAAAAATGATTTCCAAGTTGTATTATTTTTCAAAAGCAAAGTTATTCTGAACACAGTCCTAGCACCACAATTGAATTACTCATTCTTCTGCAGAAGGAACCAGAACTAATGTTTTCTGATTGCATCCAATTTCTTTTACCTACCAATACCATTGTTGATAATTTGATTTCATCTCCTGGTAAAAAGTCTGTGAGGCATTAGTATTACTGAAACTTGACAAGTATCACTTTGAACCGTGAGATGGATGGCAAATAAATTTAATAATAATCTATTTATCAAGGAAGATAGGCACATCAAATTGTTGAAGAAGAAAAAAAGGGCATTGGAAGAACATATGAAGAATAGTGAAGAAGATGTACTGAAGTTAGTATAACAGGAAGCCTTACTACATACTGGAGAGACCAATCTGGGCTACAAAAATAGAGCCATGGGAAGACAAAGTATTACATGGCCAGTACATAAAAAAACTAGCAGGCAAGGTGGATAACAAACCTGGCAATGGAAAATTCAAGGATAATTAAAAAAAGAGGGGCTAATTCTGGCTGCACAAGACCAAGCCTTAAGAAAATATGCATACAAAGCTAAAATTCAGAAGATAGCAAGACAGCAAGTGCCCCCTCTGCAAAGAAGCTTCAGAAAGAGCGGACTACATGGTTGGCTGCAGCAAGAAGATGGTACAGTCTGACTACAAACAATGGCATAACAAAGTAGCAACAATAGTGCACTGGAAGATCTGCAAGAAATACCATTTGCCTGCAAGCAAGAACTGGTGGGATCATAAAGAAGAGAAAGTAATAGAAGCTAAAGTTTCTGGGGCTTTAGAATTCAAACAGACAGACACCTCAGATTTAATTGTGGAAAACAAAGACAAAAATCTTTCTGGCTAGTGGACATTGCAATATGGCAAAAAAATAGAAGAGAAAGAACTGGAGAAGATAACAAAATACAAAGACCTTCAAATAGAAATAAAACAACTGTAGCAAAAGAAAGGAAAGATAGTACCAATAGTAATAGACACCTTGGGTGCAATCCCAAAGCATCTGTGGAGCACCACTTGAACATCATCAGCATTTACAAAATCAATTGCAAAAAGGCAGCTTTATTCGGAATAGCTTACATCCTGCAGCATAACTTTAACACCATCAAACATAAACATCTGCCTATCCAAGATCCTTGGTGATTAAAAATGCCAAGTCCAGTCTAAATATCTGGCTGGCTGTGTGATGAACCATAATAATAATTGTCTGTAAAAACAGGGCTTGTCCCTGTAGAATTGTGCCAATACACTGATACTTTCTAATTTCTGATACCCCTCAAAATACATCTATGCTGTGGTGAAAGATTTGTCGATAGGACCTTTCCTAATCCTCTTTGTTCCAAGTTTGTTTGTTATTTATTAAATTTATATGTGCATCCATGTCACAAAAAGTGACTGGGCAGTGTACAATGTAAAAGTGTGTTATATTTATACTGCTATAGATACTGTTATATACTGCATATTCCTTTGTCTGTGGTAGTGGGCATGATATGTATCTCTCCTTTGGTAATTTATCTGTACCTTGGCTTCCAACATTGCCATCAATAAAACAGAATCATTTATTGGCATTTTTTCTGCAGATGGCAAAATTATCTCTTCCAAAAACAGCCGTCATGCTTGCCACCATGTTCCTCACTTATTTCATGTAGAAAATACTGCTGATTGGAAGACTAAATCCAAAGAACAATTGGAGGAAAGCTGCATCCCTCCATGTACTCATTCATTCAGCCAGCTTCAGGAAGGACTTGCCTCTGCATCATGTTGCCCACCCACCCTTCCTACACATAAACCCTCACGTAAGTTCTGATTCTATCCTTTGGTGAATATGTGGGAAATTATTTAGAATAGAATAGAGCTGGAAAGGACCTTGGAGGTCTTCTAGTCCAGGCCCCTGATCAAGCAGGAGAACCTATACCATCTCAGATGTCATCCCTATTTTTCTTTTCTTTAAACTAGCCAAATCCAAGTCCTGCAACCTTCATATGTTTTAGTCTCCAGGCCTTTGATCATTTTAGTTGCTCTTCTCTGAACTTTTTCCAAGGTCTCAGTATCTGTTTGTAATATGGTGATCAAAATTCATTGCATTATTCGAGGTATAGTCTCACTAGGGTTTTATAAAACAGTACTAATACTACATGTGATCTTGATTCTATGCCTCAGTTTATACAACCGTGGAATGTATTAGCTTTTTTGGCTGCTGCTGCACACTGTTGGCTCATAGTCAAGTGATCGTCCACTAGGACTCTTTGGTCCCTCTCACAGTTGCTGTTTTTGAGCCAGGTCTCACCTAATTTGTACTTAAACCTTTGATTTTTCCTGTCTAAATGTAAAATTGCTTTTCTCCACATTAAACTTATTTTGTTGGATAGGGCTCATTGTTCAAGTATGTCAAGATCTCTTTTATCCTGAGGTCTTCTGGGTCATAAACAAATTGATCTTTTGAGTTATTTAGGACATTACATGTAAGAGCTAAATAAACACATAAGAAATCAGTTTCAAGAGTTTTATAACATCTTTGGGTATTTTTCCCCCTTAGGGATAGAATGCATGATATTATCATGACGTTAAAAGTTTTAATGATACTAATATTAATTTACAAATATGTGCATTTCATCTGATCTTTTCTTATCCATGAATTTCTTAAGGTGCCTTCTGAACACTATCATGATTCTCTTTTTCATTTTGTTTGCACCCTTTGTTTTTGAATGAATATAGGTGCTGATTTTCTAGAGGAACATATGTTTGAGATTCGAACTCTGTGGCAGTGTCTAGAGAAGTCCATCTATACCAATGACCGTTTGCGGGAACAACTGGAAATATATCTCACCTCAGTGGCAAAGAGCAATGGTGCGAAAGAAGCAGAATCATCTGCTCTTGGAATGTCAGATATAACATGCATGTGCTGTCAGAAGTACCTAGATCTTATCCCCATTCTCATCTCCTAGTTCAACAACAGGAAAAAATGCTTTATTGGTGTAAATAAGATTAGAAATGGCAACATGTTTTGATAAGCACATTAGACATTACTAAAGCACAAGTTATTGTTATTAAAGTTGTTAAAATCAAAAGTTATTAGACATTTCTAAAGAGTCTTGTTGTGTTTTCGGTTCGTTAGCAATTGACGCAGACACATGGTGAACAACAACAAGCTCTTTATTACACTCTCCTACAACCAAGCAAAATGCAAAAGGCACGCAGGCCTTTTTATAGGGCATGAAACCTAGACAGTGCGAACCAATAGGAATTGACCATTTTCGCCCCTTGCACATGTGCACAAGGCTGGCGCCACCCTGTCTGGTCCTGGGCATCTTTTGGATTGCCCGAGACCATTTGCAACAATCCTGAGCCTGCTTTCAGCTCTTGCAGGCTCAGGATACAACACCCCTCCCCCCTAAATGAAACACACCTAGCTTACGCACAGGTGCATTGTTCAAATGCAGGGAGAGTGGAAATGCTCGGGTCCGCACGCAGGCAAGACACCTTACAAAATAATTATTAAATAAAATGTATCCGAAATCATAATAGTATATGAAACTCCTTCCTGAGTGTTAACCCCCTCATTCAGCGGCCTAATAGCAAGGTTCCTCATGTGTTGACAGAAACCTCACATAATCTCCTAGATGTTTAGGTGGGCACTTGGCCCGCTGCAACCTTCTAAGGGCTGATGAGGTTGCCTGGTCTATCTGCTTGCCTACTAGGCTAGGCAGGCCAGGACTTTGATGCCCCAAATACCCAGGTGACCCACCCAGCTGCTGACTGGCTGGACCTTCTGAGTCCAAGCCAGTGTACCTTGGGGGGGGTGGAAGTCCCTGAGTCCACAATGGACTCCTCTTGGGAACACTGTCCCTTGAGCCCAAGGGCAGCAGTTGGAGAGGCCTGAGTGGCGAAAGTGCCCCAGTACTCCGTAGCCCCCATGCATGTGCCAGAGGTGCCAGAGTCAGGAGCCACCTCCATGGCAAACCCCCTTGCTACTGACTTCCTTTTCGGAGCAATAGCTGAATTATGAGAGTGCCCCTGATGGAATTCCCTGTCTATGGCTGTGTTTGCTTTTTGTGGATACCCCCGGTATGTCTCCCTGTCTGGAGCGCTATCTGACATGTTTGAATAATGTGGATACCCCCAGTGTGACTCCCTGTCTGGAGCAATAACGGATGTGCAGGGTGGCCCCCCTTCCTGGGAATTCCTGTTCGGCACACTTGTGGAAACTTGTGATGACCCCCAAACAGCCTCATCAGCCTGTGAGGCCCTGTTAGGCCTAGGAACCTGTGACCCAGAACCCACATTATGGTCTTCCTCCCCCCCAGAGCAGAGCCAGGAGTGGAAACGTGGCTGTCCAGCCTCCAAAGCAGTTGGTCTATGTGTCTGCGAAGAACACGGCCATCATCCAAGGCTACTTCGTATGACAGCGGCCCAGAGATCTTGCATACCACTGCTGTGACCCAGAGATGTCCAGGCCCATAGTTCCTTGCCCAGACCGGATCACCCACCTGAAGTCTCCTAGGTGCCCGCGGTTGTGACACCTGTGAAGCCACCTGGTCTGGGTGCAACCTGTCCAGTTTGGTGATGAGGCAGCGACCCCAGTGGAGTTCTGCAGGGCTCCTCCCTGTGGCTGTGCAAGGTGTGGTGCGGTGTGCAAGAAGGAAATCTGCTAACCTGTGATGCCAGTTACCATAAGTCAGTTTCTTGAGAGCATCTTTGGTAGTGCACACCATTCTCTCTGCTTGTCCGTTGGACAATGGGTGGAAGGGAGCAGACGTCGCATGCTGGATCAAGTTGGCCTGAAAAAAAGCCTGGAACTCAAAGGAGGTAAATTGGGGGCCATTATCTGAGACCAGGACATCTGGAAGTCCATGTGAGGCAAAAATTCCTCTCAACACCTGGATGGTCCTGGCAATAGTAGTGGAGGAAACAGGAACAACCTCCAGCCACTTGGAATGGCTGTCCATGAGGAGAAGGAAGAATTGCCCCTGAAAGGGCCCAGCGTAATCTATATGTACCCGTGACCATGGGGTTTGAGTTTCCTCCCACCTATGTACTGGAGCCTGAGGCATTTCAGGCCTTGACTGCTGGCACACTTGGCACTCGTGCACCTGAGCCTCGATAGCTTTATTGAGCCCAGGCCACCAAAGATGGCTGCGCGCAAGCGCTTTCATCCTTACTCTACCAGGATGTCCCTCATGCAGAGAGAGCAAGATTCTAGACTTCAATGAGGCTGGGATGACTATCCTGCTTCCCCATAACAGGCACCCCTTGAAAGTTGAAAGTTCATGCTTCTTTTGCCAGAAGCTTTGAAACTGTATCTGGACACGTGTCAGGCCATCCTGACAACACCCATGTCAGCACGCATGTGATCAGTGGCAGTGTCTGCAGCCACGTCCCTGGCATTGAGGATATTAAGGATATTAATAGCAGGAGCAGGATCTGCCTCTATCTGTTTAAGAGGTAATCTGCTGAGGCCATCTGCATGGCCCATCTCTTTTCCAGGTTTGTGAATTAGAGTGTAGTCATACGCTGACAGGAAAATGGACCATCTCAGCATACATGGAGAAATAATATGTGGTGTCTGTTTGTTAGTGGGTAAACAAACCCAGCAGAGGCTTATGGTCTGTGTAGACCTTGAAGTGGGGCCATATAAGAAATCATGGAATTTCTTTATGCCAGCCACTATGGCCAAGGCTTCTCTGTCAATCTGAGCATAATTCCGCTCTGCAGATGACAGAGTCCTTGAGTAGTAGGCCACAGGGACTTGTGTCCCATCAGCCTTCAGATGGCTAAGTACTGCTCCCACCCCATAAGGAGATGCATCGCATGCGATGCAAACAGGCAGTTGCTCATTGAAATGTGCTAACACAGCATTTGAAGAAAGCAAGGCCTTGACCTCATTGAAACTCCTTTCATGGATTTTAGTCCACTGCCATGGAGCCTGCTTGTCTAAGAGCTCAGCCATTGAAGCCTTGTGGGGAAGGAAGGCATGTGGGGAAGGAAGGCATGATAAAAATTTAAGAGTCCCAAGAAAGCTTGCAGCTCGCTTTTGGACTTGGGACTTGGGGCCTGCTGAATAGCTTGGAGCTTAGATTCAGCAGGATGGATGTCTTGAGCATCAATTCTGAAACCCAAGAATTCAGTGGAAGTGACTCCAATTTTGCATTTATCTGGCTTCAGTTTTAGGCCCAATTGGCGAAAACGAAGCAAGACAGCCCTTAATCTTCCAGCTAAGTTTAGAGATGACTCCCCAGCAATGAGGACATCATCGAAGTAGGGACAGACCCCAGGAATACCACAAAGTGTGCACTCCATGACACTTTGGAATATGCCAGGGGCTACATTTACCCCAAATTGCAGTCTTTTGACCTTAAAGGCCCCCTGTGTGTTACAATCGTCTGGGCCTCTGCAGATGCCTCATCAACAGGTAGCTGTTGATAGGCCTGTGCCAGATCAATTTTTGCAAAAATGCACCCCCCTTTGAGGGAGGCCAGAATGTGGCTTACAACAGGCACTGGATATGCATGCTGTTGCAATGCTTTATTCAGTGTGCACTTATAGTCTGCACGTATGCGGACTTCCCCATTAGCCTTTAGAGGCGTTACTATGGGGGTTTCCAATGGACTAGAGTCCACAGGTTCTAAGATGCCCTGCTGGGTCAATTTGTCCAGCTCTGCATCTATCTTGCTTTTGAGGGCAAAAGGCACCCTCCTAGGCTTGACCCTGATGGGCATGATAGTTGGGTCTAAACATAATGCAATGGAAGGCCCTTGTAGGATCCTAGCTCAGAACTAAACACATCAGCAAACTCCTTGCAGACTTCTGCAAGGCCCAACATTTGCAAGTTGTGCAGCCCCATCACTTGGATTCCCAGTGCCTCGAACCAATTGAGTCCAATAAGGCTTGTGCGTTCACCCCCAACAACCACCACATCTAGGAATCCCTCAAAATCCTTATGCTGCACTTTGAGTGTGGCCTCCCCTTTTACACTGACTTTGGAATTTTGGAAATCAGTGAGTATTAGATTCGATGGCCTGAGTTTAACTCAAAGGCCACTACTGCTGTAAATCCTTTTGAAGGTGTCCAGTGAAATGATTGATAGAGTGGACCCTGTGTCCAACTCCATCAATAATTTAATTTAATTTAATTTAATAATTTAATTTATATACCGCCCTTCTCCCGTAGGACTCAGGGCGGTGCACAGCATATTAAAACAGACAAACAAAATACATCAAAGAACAAAAAAACCCCATAAAACCAAATTAAAAGCCAAATATTCGAAGCTGTGTGTCAATTAAAATTTTCTTAAAATCATCCCTACCTAAA